GGCCTGCCGAAGTGGCGCCCGGTGGCCGTCCGTGGGCCGCCCACGCGGGCGCCTCGAGGGCGCCGCGTGCGCTGGCTGGGTCCGCCGAGGTCCTGTCCGAACGGCATGGCGCAGCTGCAGTGTTGAACGCTGTGTGATGCAGGCTACTTTGGTGCCATCAAAGTGGTGCGAGCTATGCGGTGCAGGTTTTGCGTGATGCAGTCCAGGCTGTGTCGCAAACTAGACAGCCATGCGTCGTAAGCTATGTGACGAACGCCACGTGATGCGAGCTGTGCGATACAGTGGACCCCACGTGGGTCGCCAGTGGGCGCCCACGTGGGGTCCACCGAATGCGCTCTGATCCACACGACATTACAGGGCAGTTTCTAATACATGGGATGTTTTGAAATATGGGATTTGTTTTATACAGGGTTAGCTTATGAATAAATTTATGCATGAACTCATCGTGATTTTTAAAATTAACTCCCTGCATGCTTAATACATGATCCGCACGCGGAGCCTGTATTAAAAACGGCACTGTAGACTCGATCCCGATGCCGAAGCCAGACGCAATGGTTCACCTCCGCACACTCATGTCTCATGGTTCGGCTGACCAATCGACCATGCAAAATCCGAAATAGCAGAGTCCTGGCGAAGCCTGTTTTCGCACCGACCTCCACCACCGCAGCCCTGTCAAATAGTATTGCGCGGATCCCTCGCGTCGCCGTGGTATCACAAAGGCACGATCGAAAAACCCGTGCCAAATAGAACAACGCCGGCAATACGCGCACACATATCGCATCCGTCCAAGCCCGTTGGTACGAAAAAACGATATCAACACGTTTTGTTCTTTAAATGGTCTGCATGGTTTCACTGCGCGCGCATTCGCTGAAACCGATTTAAAAAAAACAGCAACAAAAATGTTGGTAGCTCGTTTGGGCCCCAATGTTTTTTTAATTCACGAAGCAATGTTTGCCAGCGTGGACCCCAAAACAACGAGATAGTGATTGCACTCTCGATGTGTAAGATATGTGGTGTGAACAATGAGGTGCAATCGACGTGGCGCAATCGACGTGGTGCAAGCGGCGTGGTGCAAACTGCGAAGTACAAGCTGTATGGTGCAAACAAGATGGTGTCAGCTCCGTGTTGCACAGTACGTGGTGCACGATATGCGGTGTGACCTATTTGGCGCAAGTTGTGTGATACAACCGACCTGGCGGCAACAGGCGGCAACGGGCGGTGACGGGCAGGAGCGTGGCAAATGCTCGACGCACCCACCCAAGCTGCACAGGGCGGCGACGTGAGGGAACGTGGCGAGTCCTTGACGCACCCACACAAGCGGCAACGGGCGGCGACGGGCGGCAACGGGGCGGAATGTGGCGAATCCTCGAAGCACCCACCCAATTCTTTTGAATGGTGAATATAAAAGCCCCCAAGAACTGCTTGGGAAATTTTAGCAAGCGCGGACCCCTAACAATAGATGATTGCACTGTGGATGCGTAATCGACGTGGCACAAATAATGTGGCAGAAGCTACGTGGTGCCGTTCAACTTGCAAAAATTGAAGTCGTCAACTCCACTGCTCGCGCAATCACCCCACGCCCCCACCCCACCCACAACTTGTTTTGAACAATTCATGCGGCCACGATTGGGGTGACTACTTGGCATTCGCTGGCGCGTCTCTGCGATTGCGCTATCGCACGCAAGCTCGCGCGCAGAACGGCCAGCTGGTTTGGCACAACCGATGCGGCCGCGACGGCGCGTACCGATAGGAACTTCCCAGCGCGTCTCAAAGGCCGCGCTGGCGCGCGGGCATTTCAGCGCAGGTCGATGGTTCGGGCGGGCGCGGTATCATGATAACGTCGATGATGCCAGCAACGGTAATGATAGTAGCGAAGGTGGTGGCGATGATGACGATGACGACAGCACTACCAATGACGGCACCTATGCTGGTGACGACGATGACGATAATGATGTCCATGTGTCGGTGATGAGGGCGATTGACTGATGATTGTGGCAATGGCGGCGATTGACGAGGGCGATAGTGGCGGTGACGCGGCGGCGCTCATGAGGGTGATGGTGAGGAAGTGCGCGCGCGGAAAAAAAAAACATGGTAGACTTTCTGTCGAAGCACCATTAACTTCATATAACGTTGAAAATTTATATCTTGAAACTGTTCGGAAACCAATGGACTCGAAGTATTTCGACACGCGCGAGCGGCGGCGCGCACGCGTAACCCGCATGGTATTATTCGACACACGTTCGTACACTAGGCGCATGCTGGATCAACGCGAATGTACCGCGTGATGAGATATGAAATCTGGACAAGACTCCTAAATCACATGGTTTTCTTCTGATTTCAACAGATGCGCGCGGGCAGAAATCTGCAAGATCTGTGATGGACAACACACAAGGGTTTTCATATTTTGATGCTGAGATGCCTGTACAACGAGTGTGCGTTGACACGATTTCGACATGTGCGCGCGCGGTGGTTTCGTGTCATTTTCTGTTTCCAAGGATTGTTGGAAAGCTATCTTTTGAGACAAGCATGTGTGCGCGCACAGTACTACTGTTTGACAGGGGTGAATTCATGTGGGAGATGAACAATGGGGAAGAATCATATACAATTTGTCGTATCCCAGGGCGGGGGCAATAACTTTTGGGGGGGAAGGGTGGTAGAGTTTATTAATTTGTTTACAGAAAAATATTCGTGGCGCGAGCTCGAGGCGGCAACGAGGCGGCAACGGACCGGCAACGGGCAGCAACGTGGCGAAACTTCACCAGACCCACCAAGGCCACGAGGCGGCGACGAGGCGGCGACGAGCGGCAACGTGGCGAAACCTAGCCAGACCCACCAGGGGCACGCGGCGTCGACGAGGCGGCAACGGGCCAGAAGGTGGCAAATCTTCGTCGCACCCACCTCCTCTCTCCTCCAGTTGGAGGAGGAGGAGGAGGAGGAGGAGGAGGAGGAGACCCGATCCCATCTGGCAGGTCATCCGAGGCGCCCACATCGCTAGATGCCCTATCGCCGCGCCAGAGCCCGTGCCCTGGCATCCCGTCGGCAAATAAGGCGGAACCGGCCTGCAGCCAGCCGAATGGCTCGCGATGTGCTTTGGGCCCCCTCGGACCTGAGCTTGTTGAGGAGGAGGAGGAGGAGGAGGAGGAGGAGGAGGAGGAGGAGGCAGCAGCGGCCAGCAACGGGCGGCAACCGGCGGCAACCGGCGGGAACATGGCGACTTCTCGATGCACCCACACACGAGCGGCGGCGGGCGGCGGCGGGCGGCAGTGGGCGGCAGCGGGCCAGAGCGTGGCGAACGTCTCGGCGCACCAGCGAAAGATGCTTGACAGCGCGGACCCCAAGCGGTGAGTTTTCGCACCCTGGTGGTGGAAGCTATGGATGAAGCTGTGTGTGCACCCGCAAGCTCTGTCAGAGCATGCCATGCCGGGCACGAGCGCGCTTCCCCGCACGCGCAGGCCGGCACCATTGCACGACCATGGGTCGTCAAAGCGTGTGAACATAGGTGATCACACGAATATTAAATTTCAAGGACACACATGTCAGGGTTGCTAGGCGCGCGCATTTCCCCTATCATCCTCAACGAAACAAAGGTCATCATCATCGTCAGCATCATCCTTGCCATCGTCATCAGCATTACTATCATCTACATCACACCATCTTTAGCTTCGTCGTCATTCTCACCATAATTGTCATCATCGTCATCATCGTCATTGTCGTCGCCCTTGTCATCATCGCAGTGACCATCGCCATCGTCAGTGCTGTCATCGTCGCCGCAGTTGCCGTCACCATCATCACCCACCATTCCGAGCCATGGATCTGAGAGATCCTTGCGTGGTTGCGCCAAATGGCTTGTGCCAAGCAGATGCGGGCGGGTGGATGGGTGGGATACTTGCGTCAGCATGTGGATGAGGAGGAGGAGGAGGAGGACGAGGAGGAGGAGGGGGAGAAGTGGCGGAGGAGGCAGAGAATGAGGATGAGGAGGAGGAGGAGGAGAAGCTGGCACTCCGTATTCTTCAAAACTAGTTGCACCACTCAGGTTGCACCACATAGCTGGCACCACACAGGTTGCGCTGTACATCCGCCACCGTGCCCCGGGGCACGAGCTGGAGCGACCTCAGGTCCATTGGGTCCTCCGTCCCCCGTCCTGGGAATGGAATACTTAAGGGCCAGGACCCAAAATTCCCGAATTTCCCTGGGCATGTCGCGTATCCACGCATCTTTCTGCGTGACTTTTGCAGAAGCAGGAGGGCCCCACAACTGGCCAAGGGGGTCACTGTAGCCCCCCAAGACGGCCTCAGAGGGCCCCAAGACGGCCCAAGAGTGCTCCGAGACGCCCAAGGTGGCCTCAAGATGGCCCCAGGAGACTCTACCCCAAAAAGGGCCCCAAGATACCAAAATCATGGACTTCCCATGGGTTCTGGAGCGACTTCAGCATTCTCGCCTTCTCGGGCTTCCGATGAGGCGCCCGAGATCGCCCCAAGATCGCCCAGGAGGCCGTCAAGAGGGCCCGCAGACGGCCCAAGAGGGGCCTGAGAGTCCCTAAAGATGGCCAAGACGCGTACGAACGACATTTCGCGCTCTCCGCCCCAACGTCACCCCCGAGACCACGATCTACTTCTCGGACTGGTTTGGGCCGAGCTCGCACGGGCACGAGTGCAGCAATGATGATACTAAAAAGGAAAGGCCGCGACTGCGAATGTGAGAGAGAGAGTCAGAGACGGGAGAGAAGCGGGGCGGTAAGGATGGCGAGAAGCAACAAGGGAAATCTGGGGGGGGAGGACGGGCGTCAAGATTTCAAACCCAGGTGGCCGGGCCCCGGCGAGGGAAGCGACAGGCGGGAAGTGGTGGAATTCTGCGATGAGCGCGTCACGAGACGCCGCTGAGATACTCAGGCTGATGCGTCGGCTCACAACTTTGGTGGAAGGGACGGGGGGAAAATGGGGATGGAAGGGGCAGAGTATGCAAAGATGTGGGAGATGGCGCTCCACCGCTTGCAGGACGGCACAACTGCGCGGCTCGCCTTTACCCCCGTGGTTGGGTTTCCAGTCCTGCGCGGGAGAGCGCGCCGCTGCACAAATGCAAGAACGCGAATGGAGAAAAAAAGGCGTCCTCACTCTCCATCTCGTCCTGATTCTATGTTACGATCATCCTCTTCCTCCTCCTCCTCCTCCTCCTCCTCCTCATCCTCCTCCTCCTCGCTCTCGTCTTCCTCTCTCATTCCTCCCACCTCCTCAACCTTTCCTTCATACTCCCTGTTCCCTATCTCCCTTCCCCATCTTCTCCTCCTCCTGCTTCTACTGTTTCTGCTCCTCCGCCCTCCCGTCAAGCTCGCCAAAGCGTAGTGCTGGTCGGATTCCAGAGCGGCTCCGCAAACAGCCCTCTCTCGGGATGTTTTTAGACAGTGCGGCTGCGGTTCCAGTCCGTGCAGCAGCCTTGCGCCCGTCATCAGAAGGCGCCGCCGCAACGCAATGGGGTACGTCCTCCTCCTCATCCTCGTCCTTCTCCCCCTCCTCCTCCTCCTCCTCCTCCTCCTCCGCCGCCGCCGCCTCCGCCTCCGCCTCCGCCTCCTCCTCCTCCTCCCAATCCTCATCATCCTCATCGTCATCATCCTCCTCCTCATCATCATCAGCATCGTCATCATCATCATCATCATCATCATCATCATCATCATCATCATCATCATCATCATCATCATCATCATCGTCAGCATCATCATCAGTATTGGCATCATCATCATCCTCATCATCCTGGTCATCATCCTCATCATCCTCATGATCATCCGCATCATCATCATCATCAGCATCATCATCAGCATCATCATCCTGACCACCACAACCACCATCATCATCATCATCATCATCATCATCATCATCATCATCATCATCATCGTCCGCATCATCATCAGCACCATCATCATCATAAGCATCATCATCATCATCATCATCATCATCATCATCATCATCATCATCATCATCCTCATCATTCTCACCACCACCACCACCACCACCATCATCATCATCGTCCGCATCATCATCAGCACCATCATCATCCTAATCATCATCATCATCATCATCATCATCATCATCATCATCATCATCATCCTCACCATCAACAGCAGCATCGTCATGATCACCACCACCACCATCATCACCATCATCATCATCATCATCATCATCATCATCGTCGTCGTCGTCATCATCATCCTCATCATCCTCATCATCATCCGTATCATCATCATCCTCATCATCATCAGCATCATCATCCTCATCATCATTATCCTCATCATCCTCATCATTATCATCCTCGTCAGCATCATCATCAGCATCAGCATCATCATCGTCATCCTCATCCTCGTTATCATCATCGTCGTCATCAGCAGGACCAGAATCAGAATCATCACCATCATCATCAGTATCATCAGATTCATCATCATATTCATCATCATCATCATCATCATCATCATCATCATCATCATCATCAACATCACCATCATCATAGTCGTCTTCGTCGTCATCAGCATCATCAGCATCATCATCAGCGTCAGCACTATCATCATCAACGTCATCATCACTATCACCATCACCATCAGCATCACAACCACCATCATCATCGTCGTCATCAACAACAGCAAAATTCCTAAAATCACAACTGCCCTAGTAACAATCATACCCATCGCTATTATCATCAGCATCACAACCATGTATGCTATCACTATCCTCATTACCACTCATCGTCATCATCACCATCACAAACAGCATCATCACCAACAACAGCATCAGCAGCACCATCATCAGCAATAATATCATCATCATCATCCTCATCATCATGATCATCATCAGCATTAACATAATCAGCATCAGCAGCATCAGCATCATCCTCAGCGCCATGATCATCATCATCATCATCATCATCGTCATCACCGCCAATGATCACCAAGTGTCAAAATCGTCATCGTCATCGTTAGCGTCAGTGTCGTCGTCATCTACAGCGTCGCCTTCACCACCATCATCATCATCATCAGCAGGAGCAGCATCATCATCAGCATCATCGTCATCCCCGTTCCCATCCTCCCCCGCCTCGTCTTTTTCCTCCCCATCCTCTTCCTGCTCCTTCACCTCCTCCTCCTCAGGAGGGAAGGGAAGGAGGTTTGGGGAAAAAGAGAGAGAGGTCAAAGGAAGAAGGAGGGAGGAGAATCCCTGCGTCCCCTGAAGGGTTTGCTCAAGGGGCCCAAGGACACACAAATAAATACACCCAAATGACAGGATCCCCCATCTCTTCCCACATTTTCTGGGCTTCCGTCTTCCCCTCCACTTCCCACATTGCCCCATATTTTCTGGGGAATCGACGATGAATTGTGTCTGTTTTTGTTTCCCCTCCTGACTCGCGCTCGTTTGCGCGCACACCTGTCCTTCGACATCCGCCGGCCGCTGACGGCGCAGAGCACGCTCGCGCTGCCGCTGGGCCCCGAGGCTCTGGCTGCACGGCTCTGCCATGCCCACTCCCGCCGAGAGCTGCCTGGGCTCCGCGCGAGGCCAGCGCTCTTCGGCTACACGCAAGAGCGACCCTGGGTAAGAGTGACCTTTGGTGCGCGGCTTTCGGGGGGCCGCGTGGGGACCAAACCTGGGCGCGCAAGCCGTTACTCCTGCTTCGTTTTCAGCCATCTGGGGACCCATCTGTGCCCGCACCAAGGGTCACTCCGGCGAAAGGTCACTCTTTACGTCCGGTCGAACTCTGAGCGACAAGGGCTTCTCGATCCTCCACCCCCGGTCCTCATCCCCTCCTCCCTCCTCCCGTCGTCCTCCTTCTTGTTTTCCCTTCCCGTCACGCTCTGCAGCTTTGGCCTGAGCAGTCACTGCACTTCTGCTCGCTGTGCGGCCGTTCGGCCACTACCGACCCCAGGCAGTCGATCGGTGGATGCACCCAACGCTCCAAGAAGGGGCTTGGAAACCTCCATCGAATTCGTCGCGGGGTATTCCCAGGCCACAAGGGCCCAGCGGCCTCAGTCATCGAGGCCACCGCCAGCCGTGTCCGACGCACTGCGGGGCGTCGGTTGATTCTTGGCTCTCTGTAATCCCCCGAGCCACTGCGACTGTGGCTGCACAAAGCGTTCAAAGCGGTCCTTATGTTCTCCCTCCTCTCGATGTGGAAAAATTCTGGTTGGAGCCACCACACAGAGATGCACGCACGCAACGATGCACGAAACCTCACAAGCACGCGCGTGAATCATCCCAGGCCCGACCCACTTACCCACGCCACGTCCTGCTCCTTGCGAACACGATCAAAACCTACACGTCGGGCTAGAATACGCCAGCCAAACTGCACAGATACAACTCACAGTGTTCACATCACATCACACACGCACACAGGTTGGCAATCGCGGCCTCGCGCGCAGCGACGTCGCGGAGCAATTCGAGGAAGCGGCAGGAGGCCGCAGCGGCATCAGCTGACGGTGATCTGCTGGCACAGTTGTTGGCACCCTGTCTGCTGTTTCCGCCTGGCCCTTCTTCTGCCTGCCCGCCCGCCCCGCCGGCCCTGGCCTCCCGCCTGGGCGTTCGTCGTCGTCTGCCTGCTTCTCCCCTCCTCGTCCCCTTCCGCCGGACCGCGCAGCCTGCCCGGAACCAGCGTGGCGGCATGTAGGGCTTCGAGTAGGGTGCCAACCAGTGTTGCTCCTGTGGGAATTCCTTGGTTTTGTTACCTAACAGCTTGTGCTGATAGGTTTCTAGTGGGCTCAGTTGTTGGCACGGGATGCGAGACACCGCGCGCCAGCCCTCTCGCCGCCGCGCGGAGCGGGCCTCCGCCGCCGCGCACCCGCTGCGCAAGCGGCGACAACCAGTCTGGCACCAGGCGGGGGGGGAACCCTGGTGGGCCCCCAAGAGTGTGGGCCAGCTTGACCCAGAGAGGCCTGAGCCCCCAGCAGGGAGAGAGAGAGAGAGAGAGACAGACAGAGAGAGAGGTAGAGAAGAGAGAGAGAGAGAGAGAAAGAGAGAGAGAGCAGGAAAGAGAGAAGGGCCCGCGCAATCCTGGGAGCCGGGAAAGAAATAGCGTCTGATGTACAACAAACAACTTAGCTGTCTCTGCCCGCAGCAATGGCACTTACGGAACGGTACGGCACGAACGAAAAACTTGAGCCTATGCCGAGGGAGGCTCAAGGAGCAGGAGGAGGCAGCAGCGGCATCAGATGGCGATGAAGTTGTTGGCACCAGATGCGCCATACCACACGTCCACCCTCTTTCGCCACGCGAAGTGGGCCTCCGCCGCCCCCTCCAGCAAGACGCCGTGGAGCTCCACGGCGGCGTTCAACGCTGGCCAGCCCCGCCGCTGCAGCGACCCCTGCCTCGAACGAGGCTGCACCGCGCCATGCGCAAGGTTCGCTCCTCCTCCTGCAGAGCGCAGACGTCGCAGCCGCCGCGGTTCGCGCTGCCACAGCCTGCCCCGGCCGCACTCGGTCGATTCAGCGGCGCGGCCTCGGGCCGCGGGAGGAAGCCGATCCCGGGCACCGCCGCCACCGCGCGACGGCACGCTGCAACTCAGGCCACAGCTCGATCGGACTGCGCCGTCGAGCCGCCGCGTCCCCCAAGGACGGACGGCTCGGGCTGCAGCGCGGCTGCTGGTCGGCGCTCCCGGGAGGCGCCGCGGCGCGCAGCCTGTGAAAGCTGTGCGGGTCCGTCCGGGGCGGGCGCCCGCGGCGCCGGGCCCCGCCAGGCCGCCCCGCGAGGCCACCGCCCCCTTTTGCCGCAACAGCAGCCGGCTGCCCGCATGCGCCCACACGCCCGCGCGCCGCGCCAGCCCAGCTGCCCTCGGGCGCCGATGGCGCGCGCATGCTGGAAGTCAGCAGGCTCGCCCCCGCGCCAGGCGAAGCGGCGGCGGCCGGCGCTGCGGCGGGAAAGCAGTGGCTCGGTCTCTCAGCTGCGGGGACAGCTGGACGGTGGGACCGTCTGGGCAGGATGATCGTTTTTGTTTTGGTTTGGTACCCGTTCGCGCGCCAGAGTAACTGAGTGATAAACTCCCTGGGGCAATGCGAGGGGTCGGCCCGCTTCACCTGTTGCCGCTTAGGAATGTCCCGCCGCATGGCAGTCCGCAGATGCCCCAGCTGAACGCAGTGCTGAGCAACAGGGGCCTTGTCTCGGTGTGAAAGGTCGGTGGTGGGAGTGAAAAGGGCTCGTGGGCCCAGCGGGAGCGAACGAGGAGCGGGACTGCGACCGTGGGCGCCAGGCACGCGAGCCGAGATCGCCCTGAGGGGCGTTCGGCCTGCTGGAGCGCCGGCGCGGCTCGGCGGCCGGAGCCTCCTCGCCAGCTCCGCCGCCTGCCAGGGGTCCGCTGCGTAGCCTCCGTCTGAGCCTAGGCGGAGACCGCGACCGCTGGTTGCGGTGGGGCCTGGGGGGGAGGATGCCATCCCAACGCGGGATCCACTCCAGCAGGGTCGACCTGGATGGAGCGTGCGCGCTGGAGGGCGCAACTGGGTGCCGGCCGCCAGCAGCGTCTGCAGAACTCGAGGAGGGCGGCGGGGAACGGCGCCGAGCTCGCGGCCCAGGTCTGGGTGGTGCTGAGCCCTGCGGGCGGTCCAGCGCACGCGCAGAGGGCGCCTACGGTTCTCGCCATCCAGCCTTCCGTCCCCCCCGAAGAAGAGCTGCCCTTGCACAAGGAGCTGCAGCCGCAGGTTCTCAAGCGCGCGCAGCTCGTCCACGGCTGGCGGCGAAGAGCGGCACGAGTGAGACGACAGGGTTAGCGACTGGAGCCTCGAAGCCGGGTGCCACGATCATGGCGCACACACACACACACAGACACGCAGACGCACACCCACACACATACACACACACACACACACACAAACAAACAAACAAACAAACAAACAAACAAACACACACACACACACACACACGCACACGCACACGCACACAACAACAACAACAACAACAACAACAACAACAACAACAACAACAACAACAACAACAATCATTTTACCCGAACGCGTGGTGTTCTCCCCAGTGCCAGGGTTTTCATACGACACCAGGCAATACCCCCACTTCGTGGGGGGGCATTACAAGCTCTACCAAATATCCAAACGACTCTTCGCGACCACCCAAACCCAGCTTCCCGCCCTATGACGTTGGGACACTTCACTTCGTGGCGTGCGGACGACCGTGGCTACTACACTGGCGTGGGGTACACACCCACAGAACTTGGTCACTTATTCGGGGCGCGCATGTGCCCAGCATGGTGCAATTGTGCCATACAATACATAATACAGAGAGACGAATGTGTCCCGCATGGTATTATTTGACAGGGATGATGGCCCTGGCAGGTGCGCAACCGTTGTCGCAGAAGTTCGAAAAAGTTGCTCGCAAAAGCCCGTTTGACAGAAATGTTTAAAAAGTGTTGGTTTTCCTACGAATCCGCAAGAGCGCGCGGGATGAGATTTTGACATTTTTTTGTTGAAAAACCATTGGTTTTTTGATGTTTTTATGTTAAAATCGCTCCGAACACTAAGCTTTTGGAAGGATTTCGTCTTGCGCGCGCGAATGTCCACTTTACCTTATTTTTTGCAAGGGATTCTTGAAATTTGATTATATTAGAACAAGAAATGTCATTTTATAGTGTTTTTTGCAAGGGAAAGCGGGGGGGAACAAAACAACCGGATCTGATCACATCGAATTACCTGAGGCTTCCTCACGAAAATGATGAAAATGTAGCTGCGGCCTAGGCGCGGCGGGGGGGCGTGCACCAGGGGCCCAACAATAATTATTCTTTAGAATTAATAATGTTCAACAACAACAACAACAACAACAACAACAACAACAACAACAACAACAACAACAACAACAACAACAACAACAACAACAACAACAACAAAACTGTCGCGTTCCGTCTCCGCTATCACATGTGACTCCCGACGCCCCCATGCCTTCACACTATCGCCAGCGAAAGATAAAGCGAGGTCCATGGGCAGGTTGTTGGGTCTGGTGGACCCGTCGCCCTTGCTCATGCCTCGGCCTCCACCTGCGACCCACACACCGTGGCACACTGATGGGCAACCCTCCCTCCCCTCCTGCCCCTCCCTCCGTCGCCTTCCTCCCTCCCCTCCTCCCCTGCCCCTCCTCCGCCCCTGACCTCCTCTTGAAGAGCAGGGGGAGCAGGACATACATCTCCGTTGTACCTTTGCAATCCCTCTGTAACGCTGCAGCTGCTGTGCATGCACTGTTCGCTGATAGGCCTCGACTTCACGACCCCACAAAAAAAATCAAAGAGCAGGAGGAGGAGGAGGACGACGACGCCGACGACGACCACGATCAAAACCGCGACGACGACGGCGACAACGGCGACGGCGACGGCGACCAGAGCGACGACGGCGACCATGCCGACGACGATGACCACAGCGACGTCGATGACCAATCCCAGGACGACGACGACGACGACGACGACGACGACGACAAACGACGACGGCGGCGGCGGCGGCGGCGGCGGCGGCGACGGCGACAACAGCGACGACGACGACGACGCCAACGACGACGACGACGACGCCGACGACGACAACGACGCCGACGACGACGACGACGACGACGACGACGACGACGACGCCGACGACGCCGACGACGACGACGACGACGACGACGACGACGACGACGACGACGACGACGACGACGACGACGACGACGGCGGCGGCGGCGGCGGCGGCGGCGGCGGCGGCGACGGCGACGACGACGACGGCGACGGCGGCGGCGGCTCGGCGACGACACGGCGACGACTACAACGACCACCACAGCGGCCCCGACATCCGACGACCTCGGCGACGACCGCGACGACGGCCGCCTGCACCGTACGCGCCGGCGGCGCCCCGGCCCCGGCCGGGGCCGAAGCCGTCGCCGCGGCCGTAGGAGCCGTCAACCCGACCGCCGCGGCCCCCGCCTACGCGGCACAGCGACGACAACGACGACGACGACGACGACGACGGCGACGACGACCACGACGACGACGACGACGACGACGACGACGACGACGACGACGACGACGACGACGACGACGACGACGACGACGACGACGACGACGACGGCGGCGGCGGCGGCGGCGGCGGCGGCGGCGGCGGCGGCGGCGGCGGCGGCGACAGCGGCGGCGACAGAGGCGGCGGCGGCGACAGCGGCGGCGGCGGCGGCGGCGACGAAGACGACGGCGCCAGCGACGACGACGACGACGCCGACGACGACGACGACGACGATGACGACGACAGCGGCCCTCCCTGGCGCCCAGACCTCCAAAGTATCAGAAAAAACAAGGCAGAGGTTTGTCGTCGTTTTGTCGGCCTCTGGGTGCTCCTCGAAGGGCCCTGTAGGACCGCCAAAAAACTACGCTCGGATGTCAGGCCAGTCCCAGGGCAGGGCTCCAGACGGACCTCGAGGTGTCCACGTCGTGAAGGGAGAGACGGCCTCGGAGGTCTGGCTCCTCGTCGACACGGCCGTATCCGGTCCCGAAAAAGTCAGAGCCCTCCCAGATGCATCGGCGCTGCAGCGCGATCCTCCGACCCCATCTACTCGGACCCCAGCTGGGAGGCCTAGAACAGCGGACCCGGGATTGGGGCCGCCTCTCGAGGGGTCTGGGAGGAGGAGGGGGAGGAGGAGGAGGAGGAGGAGGAGGAGGAGGAGGAGGGGGAGGGGAAGGAGGAGGAGGAGGAGAAAGAGGAGGAGGAGGAGGAGGAGGAGGAGGAGGAGGAGGGGGACGAGGAGGAGGAGGAGGAGGAGGAGGAGGAGGAGTGGGAGGAGGGGGAGGAAGGGGAGGAAGGGGAGGAGTAGGGGAAGGAGGAGGAGGAGGAGGAGGACAACGACGACAGGAGGAGGACGGGGAGAAGGAGGAGGAGGCCCTGAGAGAGGTCTGGGGGCCGCTTCTGCGCGGACTGGAGCCAGGCATGCGGCCGCGGCCTGCGACGGCGGCGACCATGGCGACGACGACGACGACCGCCACAGCGACGACGATGATCACCCCCAGGACGACGACGACGACGACGACGACGACGACGACCACGACGACCACGACGACGACCACGACAACGACCACGACGACGATCACCCCCAGGACGACAACGACGACGACAACCACCACAACGACGACGACGACGACCACCACCACCACGACGACGACGACCACGACCACAAACCATGATGCTAAGCAAGCCCCCAGAATATGCCCGCGCATGATGCTCGGGCATCATGCATGATGCATGAGGGCATGCTGCTCTACATCTCTTCCTCCCTGGCCCCCGCTCCCACGCCTGGGAGGCAAGGACGACGACGACAACGACGACGATAACGACGACGACGACGACGACAACGAAAACCACAACAACAGCAACAACAACGACGACGAGAAAGAAACATCAACAACAACAATAACAACATCAACAACAACAACAACAACAACAGCAGCAGCAGCAGCAGCAGCAACAACAACAACAACAACAACCACAACGACAACGACAACGACAACGACGACAGCAACGACAACGGCAGTGGAAATGGCAAGCACAACAACAACAACGACAACAACAATACCAATCACAACAACAAGGCAACACCAGCTTTCTGGGCCCCATGCTCAAGGCCTCGCTTACCCGTCGTCCCCCACAGGAGGAAAACCGGCATTCAGAGGCCCCCTCGGGGCTTGGGGGGGGTAGCACCGCACCGCACCGCCGCACCCCTAACAGAATCCGATTAGAGGCGCACCTACTCCTAACAGAGTCCTATTAAAGGTGTATCCACTCCTAATATAATCAGATTGAAGGTGTATCCACCCCTCATATAATCCTACTGATAGATACCTATGAGAGGCGTAAACACTCCTAATATAATCATGTTAGAGATGTACCCACTCCTGATACAATCCTAGAAATGATATATCCACCCCTACTAGAACCCCATTAGAGGTGCATCCACCCCTAAAAGAATACGTTTCGAAGTGTATCCACCTCTAACAGAATCTCTTTAGAGGTGTATCCACCCCTATTATAATCATATTAGAGGTGTATCCACTCTTCATGGGAATCCGATCATCCGATCATAGGCGCACCCACTCCTAATAAAATCCCGTTAGAGGTGCATCCACTCCTAATAGAATCCAAATAGAGGCGGATCCACTCCTTATGGGAATCCGATCGTCCGATCAGAGTCGTATCCACTCCTAACACAATCCCGTCAGAGGTGCATCCACTCCTAATAGAATCCGAGTAGAGGTGTATCCACTCATCATAGAAGCCTAGTAGAGTTGCATCCGCTCTTGATTAGGGGTGTACCCGCTAATCATAGAATCCTGGTAGAAGCGTATCCACCCGTAATATCCTATTACGGGCGTAACCACTCCTGATAGAATCCTGTTAGAAGCGCATCCACTCTTCATAGAATCCGATTAGAGGTGTATCCACCCCTAATACAATCCTACTAACAGGTAACTATCAGAGGCGTAAACACTCCTAATAGAATCCACTTAGAGATGTACCCACTCCTGATATAATCCTAGAAATAATATGTCTACCCCTAATAAAACCCCATTAGAGGCATATCCATCCCTAACAGATTCCTATCAGAGGTGTATCCACCCCCTAAAAGAATCCTAGAAGCGAATCAGCATCAATACCATCACCATCGTCATCACCATCTTCGGAATGATTACCATCGTCATCACCATCATCATACTGATCGTAATCGTCATCACCATCATCAGAATGATCATCATTATCACCATCATCATAATGATCAGCATCGTCATCACCATCATGAGAATCATCATCATCGACACCACCACACCATCATCACCAATAATATCATCATCGTCATGGTATTCATCCTGGTACTCACCACCATCGTAGTCATCATCATTACCGTCGTCACAAGCACCACCATCAACATTACTATCATCATCATCGTCATCAGCGTCGTCATCATCATCATCATCATCATCATCATCATCATCATCATCATCATCATCATCATCATCATCATCGTCGTGATCAGCATCATCATTATCGCCGACACCAGTACCACCGTCATCATCATCATCATCATCGCAGTCAGAAATCACCAGTATCAACGTCACCAGTACCACCATCATCATCGTAATCAGCATCGCAGTCAGCATCATCATTATCGCAATCACCCGTACCACCATCATTATCATCTTCATAGTCATCATAGTCATCATCATCATTATCATCCTCATCATCATCATCAGCATCATCATTCGCAACATCATCATCATCATCATCATCATCATCAGCATCATCATCATCATCATCATCATCATCATCATCATCATCATCATCATCATCATGGTCAGCATCTGTATCATGTCAGCATCATCATCGTCATAGTCAGCATCACCACAGTCACCACCAGCATCCTCATAATCAGCATCAGCATCATAGTCAACATGTTGATCGTCATCGTCTGCACTAACATTATCGCCACCATCATATTCATCATCGACGTCAGCATAATCAGCATCGTCATTATCAGTATCACCATTACCAATACCATCATCCTCGTTATTATCATCGACTCCCCCGCCCTCCCCCTGGAGGGGACAGAACACGGATGACGGGAGAGAACGGGGGGAAAGGAGGGGGAGGAGGACGAGAAGGTGGCAGAGGGGGAAGAAGAGGGGGAGCAGATCAAGGAGCAGGCAGAGGGGAGAGGGAGGAGGATAGAGGACAACGAGGGCGATCGCACTCAACACTGCGAACATAAGAACACTCATCATACGTATGTGCATCATCGGCATCCCCATTATCCTCATCATTGCCCTCCCCATCCTCGTCAGCTCGTCAGCCTCCTCGTCAGCCTCGTCAGCCTCTCCATCAGTATCGGCGCCATCCTCCGCCGCATCATCATTGCCCTCGCCATCCTAGACATCATCATCCTCATCATCATCCTCCCTGTCCCCAATCATCCTCTTCAGCCTCATCATCCTCCCCATCCGTCTCCTCAGGCGAGGGCGACATGCGACATACAGGCTCCGACATTGAATAGGGGAAGGGGTAGGAAAATCATCATCATCATCATCATCATCATCATCATCAGCATCATCATCATCATCATCATCATCATCATCAGCATCATCATCATAATCTTCATCATCATCATTAGACTCATCCTCATCATCATCATTGTCAGCATACTCATCGCAGCCATCCTCATGTTCAGCATCGTCAGCATAACCATGAAGCTCTCCAGAGGCTCTCCAGAAGCTCTCAAGAAGCTCTCCTGAGACTCAACTGAAGCTCTCCAAAGGCTCCCCAGAGGCTTACCAGAAGCCCTCCTGAGCCACTAAAACTACTGAGGCTCCCTGAGAACCCATCCACCAGAATCCTTGAGAACCCTTCAGAACCACTTAGAATATTTCATAATGCATTGGAACCCAGGCGGGTTGCTGAAGCGTGCGTAAGGATGCAAGGCCCTTGTGCGCCCAAGTTGTCGCCTTTTGGAGCGGCGCGCGGTCATCGAGAATTGCTAAGGATATGCAGGGGCAACGCTGCATGGGTTGCCATGGAGAGCTGGTAGTCCTTACTGCGCCGTTGAAATGCACGGTATAATCGTCGGCCAACCGCCTGGGTATCTGCCACCGCGCAGTAGCTGCTGAGTGACATGCCCTCTGGTGCCTGACAGTCCTCTGCATTGAGCCCCACCAGTCCTTTAGGGCGTGAGTGGTTGAAGGAGCCCTTTCTCTTGAACCCCCTCTTCCCCTTCGGGGAGGGGTTCAACCCTCCTCCTACCCCCTACCCCTGGGCTTGGAAAGGGGGCGTTCCGCGATGGATGAGAGCGTCCCATGTGGCCCAACATGGCGCCAAAAGGACCCAAGAGAGCTCAAGATGACCTCCAAGATCGCTCAATACTCACGCAAGACGAAAGATATTCCTCTTGAGGTGC